CCGAGGTCGGACCCAGAGAGTGGTAGTTGATGGAACTGAATCAACATCGCACTCAGTGACTAGTGGTGTCCCCCAAGGCTCCGTTCTCCGACCTGTACTCTTTAATGTCTTCATAAACAATCTGGACGCTGGTGTCAGAAGCAGACTGGCTAAGTTTGCTGATGACACCAAACTTTGGGGAAGAGTGTCCACGCTTGAGGATAGGCTGGTGATCCAGGCCGAGCTCAATAAGCTCGCAAGGTGGGCAGATGAAAACCTGATGGCATTCAATACGGAGAAATGCAAGGTGCTCCACCTTGGGGAAAGAAACCCGCATCACACTTATAGGTTTGGCAATGCTACATTCGCTAGCATCATGACCAAAAGAGACTTGGGGGTCATGATTGACCAGAAGATGAACATAAGTCACCAATGCGATACTGTAGCTGGCAAAGCAAACAATTCTGACTTGCATTTATCGATGCATCTCGAGCAAGATCCAGGCCGTCATCCTCCCACTATACTTGGCCTTGGTGCAGCCGCAGCTGGAGTACTGCATCCAGTTCTGGGCTCCACAATTCAGGAAGGATGTGGAGAAGCTTGAAAGAGTCCAGAGGAGAGCCATGTGCATGATCAGAGGGCAAGGGAACAGGCCTTATGAAGAGAGGCTGTGAGCCATGGAGAAGCACAGGCTCAGGGCTGACTTGGTGGCAGCCTATCAGTACATAAGGGGTGTGCATCAGGATCTGGGGGAATGCCTGTTCACCAAAGCACCCCAAGGGAAGACAAGGTCCAACAGTCACAAACTCCTGCAATACCGTTTTAGGCTGGACATAAGGAAAAACTCCTTTACTGTACGAGCCCCCAAGGCCTGGAACAGACTCCCCCCAGAAGTGGTGCAAGCACCTACTCTGGACACTTTTAAGAAATATTTGGATGCTTATCTTGCTGGGATCCTTTGACCCAGCAATCCTTATTGACCCTAGAATCTTTATTTCTAGAGTCAAACAGTTTTTGAAGTCTCTTCTTTAGAAGCCGTTAACTAACCTGTAATTCAAATTATTATTCATTTTCCTTCCTGTCCATATGTCATAATAAAGATCTGCATCCAATAGATTGACATGTGAATCACTGTATATTATAGATGTTCCAGTTCCTGTTATGTGTACATTCCTTTGTAAGAATATGATTTATTTCTTTAAGCACTTTCCCATCTTAAAATGTCAGATGTTTCCTGTACTTATATACAAAAATGTTTAACCTCCCAAAGGTACCAATGTTCAGCAAAATTCTGAGTGTATACAGTACGGGACAAGTTTAGCAGAGACTCTATGGGAGGTATTCAATTCCACCTACTCTCTTCAGCTCACCAGAATAACTAACTTTGAGTGCTTTGCACTCAGGTCATTAAGAAGATCAAAAGGATATATGACTCTGAAAAACAAAGAACACAAATTGAATTTTCTAAAGATTTATTCTTAAGTAGCAATTTTGATTCTCAAGGGTTACCACTTGTGACACAAAATGCTTGTGGAGAGAAGAAAAGGTTTTAAGAGCAAATTTTTAACTGTCTCCACTAACTGACGCTTCCTATCTTTTGTAAACATCTTTTCAAATAACGTAGCCATAAAGCATTTTTAGTAAGTAGAGGAAATGCTATCTTAACTTTCATGGGTTTAGGACTGATGACTTAATAATAAAACCAGACTGCAGTACCACAGATGGCTATCCCATAAACAGCTGCCCATCAATGAACTCTATTCCCTAATTCAAAATAAAAGATTTTTTTAGTGTATTTTTTTCTTTTTAAGAGAAAAGGGTACTAAAACATTGTGAAGGTACATACTTTCCACCTGGAAGAGATCAGTGAATTACTAAAAAAAAGTCTGATAACTTGATTTTATGCAAGACTGTCCTGAATTAATGAGTACATTATGCAAAAAAAACCTGTTTTACCACCATTTAACTCTCTTAAAGTATTTACCGAAACCTTTAAAAACCCAGTTCTTTGCTTGCCTTTGATGGAAGGGCTATGAGGAAGAGGTAACTCCCTTTATCTATTTGTAAGGCTTGGAGGTCACTCTTAGCAGAATACCTTTAGAGTAGGATAAAGGGAAAAGGTACAGCAAGCAAATATGTGTCAACAACTTAAACTAGATAAGGAAAGAGCAGGACAAAAAAGAACCATATGAGATGACAATGGAGCAAAACAGGCTCAGATTAGAGAAATGAAAGAAAGCTCTGAGTGGGATACTGGTTGTGTATCAAGTAGAGTGTGTGTGGTGGATAGGTACTGAAACACACATACATGGGAGTAGTACAAGGCCAACAGGCTTGCTGGCAGCATATTTGTAATGTTTACCAGCTCAAAAAAAGCCACCAAAATCTTCTCAGGATTGACTCATTAAAAAAATGCAACATTGATGTGTTGTGTAATCGTGTATGACAACCTAACTTCTTAAAAATAGAAAAATAACTATTTTAAATAGTTTTTCTATGCCGAAAACAACATTGTCTCCAAATGATTCGGTTCAAATGATTTTTTTTTCCTACCTGCAGGCCTGGGATCTGAGGGCTTATCTACACAGGGAAATGTCACGACAAAAACAACTACTGCAGAATAAGCAATTCTGAACAACTTCCCTTTCTACACGAGCCCTAAGAATCAGATGGGCTCTTTCCACATTCAGCATCATCACTAGTAATAAGTTTTGCAGACTAAATCAGGGCACCAGCCAGATTCATGCAACTCTCTGTGCTTAATAGGGGAATACAGGTGTAACTAATTGCAAATTAAAAAACAATTCTGTTGATGCACAAAAGATGATAACTCAATCCACACTCTTAGTCATTATCTTTCTGCATGGCTTACAAAAGTAGTAAAGTATTATTTTGCTAATGTAATCATGTGTAGTCAACTATCACTTCTTGATGCCTTTTTCAAAATGGCCTTGAAAATCTATTTAAAAAAACCTGAAACATAATCCTCAATTAAGAAAACTGTTTTAATTATGTGTGGAATGCTCCCTTTCTCCTTTCATTATTCATCCGGTCATTCATCACACCATATTTTTAAAATAGGGATCCTGACCTTTGGAAACACAACAGTAAACATATTATCCAGGGGGGTTTATATTAATTTATTCTAAATCCCTAAAATCTGTATGGCCAGTTACATGATGCTTGACTGAAATTCTGTGAATCTTTCCAACAAATACTGGAATAAACTAGAATATTAATGTACTCTACAATATAAACACTGTTCTTATTTGTAAGAAAAATCTTTTCAGAAGTCTCCATTGAGGCCCCAAACTGTAATCTGACCCATGCAGGCAAAACACTAACCTCATGCAGAACTTGAGTGACTTCAGTGGGACTCAACATAGAAAGATCCTTATACTTGTACAACGTCCCCCAGAAAATAAAGTGGCTCTGCAGGTGTCTGCCTTTGTAAATCAGGTGGAAGGCTAGAGCAAGGCTTCACAATCTTTCAAGGCTGCAAACCAGGGTGCTTCAGTTTGGGTCAGAGGTGTGCAGCACCTGCACCCAGGGTGGCAGGGAAACGCAACTCTTGCCAAAGCCCCTTGCTATTAAATGCCAAAGCCCCGCTGTCCATGGGTCTAATTAAATGGCTCTGTGAGCCAGATCTGGACCATGAACTGTAGGTTGCCAACCCCTGGGCTAGAGGCATGAGATTGTTCACATTATAACATGCTGGTATTGCTGTCACACTGTAAGGTTTTAGCATAAATTTAGAGCAAAATGCCTTTCAAATAAGAAACTTCATAACACAAATCTCTTTATAATTCAACTAAAGATTTGTGTTTAACAGCCAACACATTTAAAATGAGTTACAAAAATAAGAGCACATAATGCCTATCCACAAAAGACATAGCTATTCTTAGTAAAACGCAGTTAGGATTCCAAGAAGCCATGTCTAAAAAACTAATCAATTCAGTACAATGTTACTTTCCTCACTGTTTCCTAAGAAACTTAAATAAAACCGTCCCTTTACTGTTAACTGTGCTAAAGCTGGGCACAGTAAGAACTTGAAAGAGCAACTGGGATCAAACATTTGTTTTTTGTTTCTAAATGAATTTGATACAATTAATTTGATACCTCCTCTCCATTGATGGAAAAAAAATAGTAATGACAGTCTCTGAAGTGGAAGAAAAACAGGCCAGATATTAAAGGTATTTAGCTGCACCAAATGCCTCTTCAGTGCTTTTGAAAATCCCACTTGGCTCCCACCCATATCTTCTGGTTTTGCAATTGCAATTACCTTTAAAAACATGTCCCAAATATCCAAAAGCAGTTGTAGAAGGAGAAAAGGGAGGAAAGAAGAAAAGGAAGAAAGGTATCAGTTTAGAAAAAAAGATGCTTGAGGAAGGACATCATAAGGGTTTACAAAACACCAAATGATATAGAGAAAGTAAACCGGGATTTATTTTTTACTCTCTCTCAATACAAGAACTAGTGGCCACAACATGAAGGCAGCAGGGAGTAAGTCTACAAGTAGCACAAGGGAGCTCCTCCCCACCGGGCCCGTGGTTCAAGTGCGCAGCTCGCCGCCACCCGCTGTGGTGAAAAGCGACAGTTTAGCCAGATCCAAAACAGGGACCGGACACGTTGTTGGGGGAAGGGGGCGCAGGCAGCGACTGAGGGCGGGCGCTAGGGCTGCAGCCCCGAGACACGAGGTCCTGGAGGCTACAAAGGGGAGAGGAGCGGGGGAAAAACCCAGGGTATCCCCTTCAGCCTCTGCGCTCCACCCTCTGCGCTCCACCCTGTGAAAGGCCTGCTGGTTACTTGCCGATGATGGCGGCCCTTGCCCCCCGGGAGGAACGGGCAGGCAGAGGGAGGCGCTGAGCAAGTGGTGATGAATATCTTAGAGTAAAAAAAGAGGCCGCACAGGGCCTTAGCGACCCCCGCCTCTATGCCCATCCCGAGCCCAGAGCGTCGCCCCAGCTCAGCAGCACTTCCGGCCTCTAACCATCTCCTCTACTGCTCTCGCCGCGCGCGGGGGGTGGGGCCGACGAGCTGTGGGCGCCTCAGGGGGTGCTGAGCCGGGAGCTGCAGCCCCGGGAGCGGGGCTGGTTCCCTCCGTGCCGGGCTCCCCGAGGGCAGGAGCCGGGTGTGCTCAGGTGGCCGACCCTGCTCGGTGTCCCCCAGGCACGAAGAGGACGGACATGGCAGACGCCGCTGCGGCTCCCCGCGGGCGCTCAGCTGGGGGACCCCTGCGCGAGGGTCCCGGTGTCCCTGAGGCTACCCCTGCCACGTGCCCGTGCCCCGCGGCTCCGACATGTCCCGAGCTGGGCGCCCTCCCGCGGCAGCGCAGAGCACCCTTGGGTGCTGCCATCCAGGAAGACTGTAGGAACCAGGTGGTACGTTCATTGTTGCATTTACACGCTTGGTTCTTCTGTTTTCGGAGGGCACCCAACCACAGGGGCTGCTGGAGACGAAGAAAGAGTTGGACAAACTGTAACCGTGGGGTCAAACCCTTGCAGCAGCGCTTGCTCCTCCCGGCCATCACGGTGTGACTGCTTGGGTCAGGCGTGTGGGAGTTTTTGGTCCTTTCTTTTTGCTCCCTGTTCCTTCACAGTCTGAGGAAAAGCATTCCTCCCATGTGGCGAGACAAGCCTGCTGCACCCACTCCGAAGGGAGCCAAAAGCTTCAATAACAATTATTAACAGTTATTACAATTATTAACAGTTATTCCTGACACTTTGTAACATCTTTCCTTCCATTTGTTTTGATATTGACACAGCTGCTTTAGTTTAGCAATAATGTTGAGGGTGTAACAGTAATAATATTGAGACTTGAATCAAAAGACATTTGATAACCAAATCAATAAACATGTAGCCCTTCAGACCTGTGCAGGCATCATCTCACAGATTTCAACAGTATGAAGTCAAATCTGGTTTTGGGCCATACCTGTTAGCTTCCTTTTGAAATGAATGGCCATCCTGGCGAAGGCAGTTGCCAAAATTCACAAGTTCCTGCCAAAGGTGAAGGGTTTAACTAGTTTTGAACAATGACTGGTTTATTAAAGAAAACTCATTTGCATTATCAAAAATAGACATTAATTTCTGACATGGGTAAAACTAAAGAATGCTGAAGTGCCTTAGGAGCATAAGGTCCATGTCTTAGGAGCCTGATCTGGCTGTAAGTTGGTGGGTCTTATGTTTTAGGCACTTCTGAAAATTTTTCCCTTTGTGTTTAAATTGCAGATTTTAAAGAGAAGCGATGACATGGTAGGGGCAGAGGAAAGAGACTTTTATGAAAAATGAATGATATTTGAAGCAGTTTCATTTTCTAGCAGTTTTTCGATTTCTTACTTCAGATTTGTAGATGGGGTTCCCTCCCCACCGCCCCCCTAACCATAATCCAGGAAAAATACTTTCTTGGTTTTGTGATACATTTGCAGAACAGTGAGGATGGCATTATATGGTGATAATTTAGCACCTCTCTAATGTTTTCATCCATAGTTCAAAATTAATTTTTTAAAAAAAGGGAAGAAGCATCTTTGTCCTTGTTTTATGGCTGCAAAATTGAGGTACAGAACAGTGAATTGTCCTAGTCAAAACCACACCGGTCCTATTCCAAAGTCAGTTAAGTTAATAACTACTAATTTCTGAAGGCTTTGGAGCAGGCCTGCACTGAGTAACTGGTAAAGCAGTGAGTGACATCCATGTCTTGACTTCCAGGCATGTGTCCTATCCACTGGATGTTGGTGTGAAATTATGCATACTTACAGGCCCTTGCAGTGCTCTTGGATTCTACTGTACCATGGTTACTTTACAGTGAATTATAGTTCATGACAACACCAACACTTCTGAACAGAGCTTGTAGGATAACAATACATAAGGTATTTGCAAAAGCCCTGTCCATGCTAATCTAACGATCTTACCCTGTATTACTTTGAAAATGTATAGAACATATTTGCCTATTTAGAGGCATGTTAGAATCTCTAAATGAAATTTAGTGTCTGGTGGCTGTGATGATGACGTGAGTGTCGCTACGCTTGTATGTCAGAAGCATGAGGGCCAGAAAGCCAGCAACGGGTACAATGGTCAACATTAATAAGACCGTGGGCACACAAAGAAGAGCTGTAAAGGCATTCGTAGATAATGTGGTTGGCTCTCTGAGCTTGAGCACCACAGCTGCAGCCAGCATTGTTGGACAGGCCTCAAGACTGCATGCTTACCTTAAACCATCTGATGCCCCTTCTGAGATGGTTAAGAGCAGTCCAGGCCCTGCAGGGCAGCTGCCATCCTGAGGAGCAGAAGCTGGTGTTAGGGATGAAGTTCTTTAGCCTCAGTTCTTGCACAGCATATTTCTTGCTCCACTGATGGGAGGTCCATGCTGTAGGTGCTGTCTGGGCCATCTGCAGATTTGATGAGCTTATTGGCCTGAGTGGAGAATGGGATCCAAGACTTCAGGCAGTACTTGGTTTTCTGGCTTGCAGCTACTCAGGTTGAGTGCAAAGAATGGTTTGGATCTTGGGTTTTGAGGCCTAGGGCCAGGGCCTGGTGGTTTTCTCACTTTAGCTGAAGCAAGGACATTATAACACCTGCTTCAGTAAACATTGTGCATTTGTGGCTCACAAGTAACATGTTGCTCCTGAAACTTTGTCACAGCCATAGAAAAATTTGCTTTCCACAGAATATGTTTCTTCAGATTCATAGGGAAAGCGAAGTATGGATGTTGCTTGAAGGGCCTTGCTTGTTCAGTATTGCTGTTAACAAAAGTTGAGGATCATCATGGTCTATGTAAAATGCAAGTTGTAAACCAAGCTACAACCAGAAAAAACGAACTTTGTGTGTGTTGGGTGGGGAGTAGAGTCCTATGGTATTTTTAACTTTTCTAGACTTGAGTGAATCCTGGCAACCACAGACCTGAAGCATTGGCTCAGAACCCCAAGTCACCAAGACCTGATTCATAATCATGAACACAGTTATTTGTATACCTATTATACTTTTTGAGCTTTTTGGTGAGGTATCCTCAATAATTCTATCCTTGCACCTTCATTTAGCAGACACCTATCATAGTTTTACTGCAGTTTTAGGAGATGGAACTTGATTACAGTAATGTTTTTAATAGTACATTAAAGTAGTCTGATTTACTGCTCAGAGCACCTTGATTGTGCCAAATGTTTGCAAATATTGTAATTTGGGGTACCCATGAAATTGCTGCTTCTCTTATTTTAATCAGTTCGTATAGGATGTAAGAGTGATGGAGCAATGTGATACACTGGCCTCTACTTACACTTAATAAAATTTTAAGCATGCCTTCATAGAAAAAACAGAGAGAAAGCTGCAGCTAGTGTAGTATATTTTTGTGTGTGTACACACACACCTTTATTTCACTCTCTCTCTCCTTTATTTCAATGGAAGTTAATTTCACCAGTTATTTAATTAGTCAAACAAATTAGTCAAAGCTGAGGCTTGAAAAGGTTTAAGAAGAACTGATTTGCATGCATATATCACAGCTTGTTGTTAATACTGCCTCTCTGGCTATCAGGAATCCTTGGAGAGTAGTTTTCTTTTTTAATAAATATAATACCATTGGGTTAATGTGGTGTTACATACAAGGTTTTATTTTAATGTCCATCTAGGGATTATGGAATACTAAAATCCTGAGTGAATTAAATTTATTGACACAGTCAAACTGTGTCAAGTAATATTTACAGTGGCTCTTAAAAAAAATCTCAAGTTTCTGTTTATGTGCTTTGAAGTCTCAAAGTACTAATGTGAAAGAAAGCTCTTTAATCACAAAACTTTTTGCGTTTGTACTTCACGTAGTTATTTTTCTCCAGTGTGAAATTTCTAATTCTTTCAAAGCAAAGAACCAGACTTTTCTAAAATTTTAAGATAGCAGGTAAGGATTTATTTTGCAAAAGCAGCCTTTCCTCCTCTTTGAAATAGTAGTTAGGGGTCAGAAGGGACCTGAATAGATCATCTAGTCTAACCCCCTGCCACTGGCTGGAGCACATGCTGGGATCACATGACAGGTATTCATCCAATCTCTTTGTGAATTTACCCAAGGTAGGAGCGAGGACCACTTCCCTAGGAAGTTGGTTCCAGATCCTAGCTACCTTAACAGTGAAATAGTGCCTCCTAATCTCTAACCTGAACGTATTCTTCAGCAGCTTCTGGCTATTGTTCCTCATCACCCCAGGTGCTGCTGGGGGGAATAGGACCCTTCCTATTTGCTGCTGATCTCCCTAACAAGTTTGTAGGCAGCCACCAAATCCCCCCTCAGCCTCCGCTTGCTAAGGCTGAACAGGTTGAGGTCCCTCAGCCTCTCCTCATAGGGCCTGCCCTGTTGCCCTCCAACCAAGCGGGTGACCCTCCTCTGAACCCTCTCAAGGCAGGCCATATCCTTCTTAAAGTGCAGTGCCCAGAACTGGACGCAGTACTCCAATTGAGAACAGACCAATGTCACATAGAGGGGGAGTATCACCTCTCTGGATCGGCTTGAGATGCATCTTTGGATGCACGACAGGGTGCGGTTGGCTTTTCTGGGTGCGGTCTGGCATTGGCGGCTCATGTTCATCTTGGAGTCAGTAATGACTCCAAGAACCCTTTCCACCTCTGCTCACAAGGGGGGGAGCTCCCCAGCTTGTGTGTATGCTGTGAATTCCTTCTCAGGTGCAGCACCCTCCATTTATCTCATTGAAGCCCATCCTCTTACCATCCGCCCACTTCTGTAGTCTGTCTAAATCTAATTGCAGCCTCTCTCTCCCTTTGAGTGTGCCTATCTCTCCCCACATCTTGGTGACATTGGCAAACTTGGACACCGTGTTTTCCACCCCCTCGTCCAAGTTGCTGATGAAGATGTTGAACAGTGTAGGCCCCTGGACCGTGCCCTGGGGGACCCCACTATTCACATCCCACCAGGTTGAGTATGACCCATCTACCACCACTCTCTGGGTGCACCCCATCAACCAACTTTTGACCCATCCAACTGTGTAGGCATCAATGCCACAGTCGCTCAATTTATTAATGAGAATGGGGTGAGAGACAGTGTCAAAGGCCTTCTTAAAGTCCAGAAAGACTATGTCCACGGCGACACCATCATCCAGGGATTAGTTACCTGGTCATAAAGGGCTATCAGGTTGGTCTGGCAGGACCTGCCTTTGATGAACCCATGTTGATTTAGCCCTGGGCATGATCTCCCCTGCTGGCCCCTCACAGATGTGATCCTTGATAATTTTTTAAAGGATTTTCCCCAAGACCAATCTGAGGCTTATGGGCCTATAGTTTCCTGGGTCCTCCTTTCTCCCTTTCTTATAAATTGGGACCACATTAGCTAGTTTCCAATCTCTAGGCACTGGGCCCATGGACCACGATCGCTCATACAACCGGGCCAAGGGCGCAGC